TTTCATAACGTAAATATGATTGATTAAGAGGGCGAGGCAAAATGAAAAAATGTTGCTACCCAAGAGTAATAGAAAATTAAAAACGTCTCTGTATATTCCGGTATCAGTACTGAAGATGCTTTGTGCGATGGTGTTTTATTCACGACAGGAATATTGCAGACTTGGTGACAGACAGAGTTTGTTTCAACATGATGGCCATTGTGGCCATTAGTTGCTTACCTGTGTTGCAGTTTCATATCCCACAAGTGGTTGAAGAGTTTATGTTGTTTAAACTGCAACCTTGTCTGTCAATCTTTGGTCAGCAGAACAGAGCATTTTTGTGTAATTTACGAGTAAAAGAGGGCCTCCAAAGACACTTTTTTGTGCAAATATATCAATATCCAACCAGTAATTCAAAAATACATTTAAAGGTTAATAATAATTAAAAAAAATATTGCACTCTGTAATTCTTAATATGTTTTGTGCTCTGACGGCCTACATAGCTTTTATTAAAGTCACATTTTTCTACCATGGACTCTTTATAACCATAATAATCAGTAGGATTATTTTAAGATGTTCGGAAAAGAAAACATTATTTCTGTTGTATGCACATAATCAACATTGAATGAGAATGTCTCCCTCAATCACTGATGTCAAAAAAATACAAAACCATCAACAAATTCAAGGAAGGATAAATAACATTTGTATTGAAAAATACAAAGAAATATATTATTTTTGTATTTTCTGATCGCAGATCAGTAAATACATAGCTAACGTCCACGGTCTAACACAAAATTTCCTAACAGACCTAACAACGCAAGGTAGTTCTCACTCAGAACTGCTTAAAAACCAGCAATTTAAAAGAAAGAACAACTTTTTGTTACAAGTGTCCAACAAATTACTACACATTCAAACTTTAAAAGTAACGTTGGCTTATAGAATTGTCAATAAATGCACTCACAAATTACGCGGGTGAATATGATTTTAATCAATGAAAATGCTATTTTTAGCGATGTCGATTACCGAATACTACACAAATAAATCTGACTGCCGAGTAGTTGAATATATAGTTTCTATATGTTGGACTGTTTGGGCGAGAAGATTTTTGCTAAATTATTTACTTCAATTTTAAACAACAGGTTTACCCTGAACAAAATACATCGAAATTTCCCTAACCCGAAATGCAATGGAAATTCTAAATTTAGAATGACTTGATTTTATTCAGACTCTGTTTTTAAAACTTCTCCGTGGTGCAGGGGTAACGCGCTCATTTAGTGTGTGAGAGATCTGGAGTTCAAATCCCAGTCGAGTCAATATTTTTTTAATTCTTTTTTTAGTTTCTTTGTTAAGGAAATAGCCACGATATGCAAGGATAAAGTGTGGCTATCATAAAAAATGAACATAAATGATTTTTTGAGGCAACTCTAGTTATGCAAAATTCCGTATGTATCAAACTCTGGTGCCATGCAAGATGAATTATAGTACATAAAAATAAACTTATACAGGAAAACACATACAATACGATTTAGATTGCAAAGATCAGAAATTACCACAGAGCTTGCAGCCCTTTGGTTATTATAAGTTACTATCACAATTTTAATATGTCTGTGTAAACACACTTATGTTAAAAATATGCGACTGGGACATTGCACTATAATCCAATTTTAATGGGAAACAAACACACAGGGGAATGTAGGAAGTATACATGGGGAATTATATAGCTTGGAAGTAGATTGCGTTGAATTGGTTATACTTACATTCGAAGGCGAATATTCTTTTGTCGCCAGTTATGCAAAATTGTTTATTAGTCGCCGGTAGAAACCGGCGACTATATTTGTAACAGTTTAATATTATATCTATGGTAGGAGAAGAATAAAAAAGCAAATCAATTACTGAACAATTAAGGACCACAATTACTTTTCATAATGATCTTAAAAATTCAAACATAAATTAACGTTGCTAAATGAAATGAAATATACAGATATTGACATCTTAAAAAGCAACATAACAATTTTCATAAAATGAATTAACAATGTATCCCTATGGACCAGTCATTTAATTTAGGGATACTTTTACTTTTTTAAGCGTCAAGCGTTGCTATTTTATGATTGATAAATCATGAATGATTTTTGAAATGACACATTTAAATTATTTGGTTGTTTATATCTTATGAGACCTATTATATTTCATTATTTTATCTAATTATAAACAGATTCTCCCTGTAAGAATCATGTGACTACACGTTGTATGTTATTGTTATAAAATCTATTAATAGTAACAGGTTGCTGATAAGACATACAAGTAACTTGTGAATAGTAAGGTATGGCGGCTGATAAGATGCAGATGTATAAATGATTACAAAGTTATCTTTCATTAATAAGTTTCATATTTTATATCATTAGAAAGGACTGTATATGTATACTCATAATTTACACATTAAAGAATAAGTTTTCTAAACCTTTTCATTTTGTCTTGGTAAAGGGTTAAACTTGTTCCTTTCTGTCAACGTTCAATAGTTTAGTTTAGGCTGAACATCACAAAATAGATTTATGCTAAAGAGGCACATTTATTGAAATAAATAGTGGTAATCGTCGTCTTCGTTATATTCCGTCGATTTCCGTCGCGCAGGTTACCAAAGCGGTATGACGGTTATGACCCGGAATCGTATTAGAAAGTATACATTAAAAGAAAACTAATAAAATATCTTTTTGTTGATATTTTATCGAACTGAAAGGCAATAAAACGTTAACTATATCGTATGTAACGACATGAATATTGATTTCAACTAAATTATATATTTTTTCGATACGCATAAAAATATTTTTATGCAGATACCACTTTTACGTTAGAATAGCATTGTTTTATGCAATAATTAAAACATATATATTTTCAAATGTTCGATGACCTTTAATTATTCGGCGGTAATTATCGGATTCTGAAGTATACAATACGGATTTCGATGTCTGGTATAACGGTATATGTATAATTAAGGTAGAATTACAAGTAGAATTAAAAGAATATCACCCGCCTTACAAAATTAATCACAATTTTGAAATAAAAAAATGCTAGAAATGAAATACGATTTATCAACTTTTGTTTCATATAGTTAAAAGATATAATAAAAAATAGTTTCATGAAAACTGCAAAAGGGATGTTCAAAGATTCGAACTTGGCCTACTAGGTCACAACTTCGTCATACTTACCACCACTAGGCCATCAAGCAATATTTATTGATTTGATATCGAGATCTATACTATCAATAAAATATTTAGCATTAATAAGTTACGTAAACTAACGAAACACCTCCCGAAAATTAATGAGTCTCAGGTCAATATTGCCAGACAATACTTGCTTATTTAATAATAATAGCAGTTCCTTGACAATATTGCTAAGCTAGTTTGCTTCATATATGATGTTTAATTGTGAATAAACAGTTACTCAACATATTGTTTCTCTTTTCTTTATACTTGAACCATTAATTAAACTGATATTTTCTTATATGTATGATAATACAATCATTTTTCTATCCGGCGACTTGATGCTTTAGCATCAAAATCTCTACTTGTATTTAATGTTTACGTATAATTTAGTAAAGATATAGTATTACAAGTTTAGCTTACAAAAATTCTTTCTGGGGCAAAACTTAACTTATAGATATGGTTATAAACATGACTCTAGATATAGACGGATTTATAAAATTATGTACATTGTATCTTTAAAGATATTTATTTATAACAAGCTTTTTAGAGTTCTCAGAAAATCGTAGGAAACAATGCGGCTGATAATAAATTGTAAGACATGTACATACATGATGTCGACCTGTGGGAGATTGATTTTCGTAACTGATAAATGGATTGTATAAAATGCACAACAATAAAGAACTAATAATGGTCGTTCACTAACGCGCGCTTTCTTTATTCTATTAATTAATCGGCAGTCCGTTCATAATCGATAACCATTATTCAGATGTAGTATCCTTTGACTTGAAACGGGCTAAAACTGACTGGAAAATTTCACATTGAAACAGACCATACGATGCTTTTCTTATGCAATAAACAAATGGACTCGTCCGATTTGAAAAAAGGGGGATTATGTTTTTACAGAAAACGAAGAAATGGTTTAAACACATAAAAGGGCATTTATATAGTTTCAATGTGTGATGAGAAATAACATATTTGACTTTTTTCGGAGCTTTACTTCTTTTGTTCAATGATCACAATTATATTGTTTTCTGTTTTCTGCTTCCAGTTACTGTGTTTACCTCTAAACTAAACGTAAAACTTCCTGATATCAAAATGGCGCTGTCAATAGAACAAAATAGTGCGTTTCATATACATTCTGAATGCTTCGGATTTCTTGGTGAATTTTAATATCGTCACGTGTCAGTTAGTTTCATCAACATAGAATTATTGAGTTATAACAGTTTATGTAGCGCTTCAAAATCGCTGCGCGTTTTGCTAAACAACATTATGAAGAAGTCGGTAAGACGTTGGAGTGTACGTAGTACTAACGGAAACGTCTGATGTTAAAGGACTTACCCTATGTGCACAAATACACATGCTGATTATCATTTCTGTAAAGTTTCATGACTCTAAGTTAAATACTGTTTTGACTACGAATGACAGAAGTTTATGATTGCAAATTTTAACTAAGTCAAGGGCAATCACTCTGAAAAAAAAACTGAATAAATCCACACACAAAACCTAATGTGCACACCTACATATGCTGACTTACCATTCTTCAAATACTTGATTTGCTACGCGCCACACTAGTTGAAAATAGCTTTTTTTACATAGTCAAGGGCAATCACCTTGAGAGAAATAAATTAATCCACACGCAAAATCCCGGGTGTACAATTTCCAATGCTGATCAACATTTCTGTTAAGTTTCTTGACTCTAGATCAAATACTTTTAGAGATTGTGAAACAACATGAGAACGGACAAACGTATGGACGGACGGACAAGGGCTAATCTTAATCCTCCTCACAGACCTCAAAATGATAAAATATGAGTTAATTTACCTTTCTTTGATTGCCTTGGCAGCACCTGTGGAAAGAATGCGATATAGAATTATGATATTTAGGATGATTGTTGATAAAATCGTTTTGTGCTATTTCTTTCAAAATGTAAAGCAATCAGTATTTTGAAATTGAAAAAAAAAATGAATAATTGATATTGGTTTCAATAGGACTGTCCTATAAAAAGAGTGGCAAATCCACGTGATTATTATATGATCAACTTACAAAAAAAAGTTAATCATATATGTACAAATGCAAGACTTTGACCTTCAGCCATGTCCCCAATTTCTAAACTTAGGGACCATTGTTTAAAATTCATTCTTTACACCAATTACCTTGACCTTGGTCTATGTGATCCCAAGTTCCACATAAACCTAGAGGATCAATACTAAATGTGGATGACATCATGAATTAATTAATTTACTAGGAGAAATTTAAGATAAATACAAACTGTCGTGATAGTTTAACCAAACCAGATACTATAATTTATAAAAGCGGGAGTAACTTTGAAAAATGGATATCACAGTTACATAATATGACAATAAAATAGACTAATGATATCTTAACGTGTAATTTATAAAGGCATTAATAGAAATAGAACTTAAGATAAATGAAAATTAACAAAACAAAAATCAAAGGAGTTACTGAAAGCTATTGCTACACAAAGACAATGTACTGGATTGATTAAGTTATAAAGGTTAATATGAATTGTTGAAAGAAAACCAACCTTAAAATGTGATTTTGAACTTGAAGGACTGAACGCATTTTTGAGCTTCCGACGAACTTTTTGGAAAATGGTTTCCATTGAAACAACCTGTCCGCTCATATCAGACCTAGCAGCTTTAGCCCCAATTAGAACATTTTCTTTTGCTTCTGTACCAGCCTTGGTGATTACAGATAAAACGTCTTTTTTTAAATTGCAAATTTCAGATATAGCTTCACTTTTCTGTCCATCAATATCGTTTTTGGCCTCGGATATGTCTTGTAATATCTGTTCCCCGGCTGTGCTTATTTTAGATATACCATCAGTAATCTTCTCATCGAGTTTACGCAAAGATTCTGCTGTTCTGTCGTCAAGTTCGGTCAACGCCTTATTTCGCATCTGACGAAGTGATACTGTGTCTCCTTGGTTTATGTGTATTGTGTTGTTTCTTAACTGTAATGTAAAAGGCATATAGAAATGTAATATAGTTATCAACCTTTTGCTTACAAACATGGTGATTGATGTGTTTAGTTTTACTGTTGAATAGATCTATCACAGTGTATACACCGCACGTGGTCCTCTAAAACTGTCGCGTGGACGAGCGAGGTAAACACGTAAAATACTAATTTCAAAAATGTCCCTTTCTTCTTTTACTAAAGGAGTCACATGCAAAAGATTATTAATGTCGTCTGTCCTGCTGTAAAAACTGTATTGTCCTGGAAAAGCTCCCTAAAATGTCTTTTTGTACTTTGAACAACGATTTACAGCTAAACATATAACCGACGAGCGAATTCTCTTGACACTTTGAAATATAATCATCTGAGCTCCAAACAGTAAACTAATATATGGTGTACTAACAGTAGCTCATTTGCTTCCATAAATAATAACATTTTGCCATCTCTTTTGTATTTTTTATATCCTTTATGTTAAACTTTTGGACTGATTCAATTATCTACAAGCACATGTTTTCGGCATTTTTATATGTATGGACATGGTCTGGAAACAAAAAAGTATTATATAACAAAATGATGTAATGTTTTGCAATTATAAACTTTTTCAAATTTTGAAGTTTGTATGTATAATTTTTTAAAGTTTTTTTTCCTTATAATTTTTTTCCAAACAATGTATACACACCTAGCTATACACACCCCCTATTTACACAATCAGCTAAAAGAAATATTGTTAAGACGTTATTTTTTATATATTTTTGGGGGGGTTATTAACATACACTGACTTTGTCAAATAATTGGCACCTTTAATCAAACAAGACCTTTGCCTAAACAGAGCACTCTAATTTGTTAGAGCTGAATAGTAAAACAAGAAGCACCTGAGAAGGGGGGGGGGCAATATTCTGAAAATGTGATCTCAGACTTACCTGCCCCAGCTAGTCAACAAATACTTCCAGCTTAATGTGAATAAAACAGAGAAAAACAGAATCCCTTAAGAAAGCCCGACACGGCAAAATGGAAAATTCTGCAGGCTCAGTTTGAATGAGCCTGTTCATGAACGGTACTTGGAAATGCAAGTTACCATCCACTCCCTGTAGCACCGGCTTAAGCAGAATTTGATATTTTAACACGAAAATGGTTTAAATTTGAATTAAGAAACATTGCAAGTTCAACGGTGTTTTAGAAAAAAAAATTTAAGTCGAACGAGCAAAAAAGGGACTTTTACGATTATCTCCCCTCCCAAATACATTTCAAATCTAATTGTAAAGAAATACATTAGGGTGAACGTTTCTTCTTACACGTAGAACGCACGCATGTTACACGCTAACAGAACGAACGCTACAAGCATGCTTTAGCAAACGAATTATGCAGACAAACGCAAAACGATATACTCTAAATGATAAACGCTCTCTTAAAAATTGTTTGGAATTTTTGTGTCATTCAATCATTTTCAAGCACATTTTCAGCAAATTAAAGTATCTTTTAAGCTTTAATCAAGAAAAGTATCAAATGCAAGGACTGTTAAGCATTTATTTTTATTTATAAGCAGTTTCTAAAAAAGGGCCTCAAATTAAAACACTTAAATATACTTACAACCTTAGATATGTTATCAAAATAAATAAGTATGTCATAGTTTTAACATACATTTCTATTGTAACATGATGCAATTTTTATTAGCTTACATTGAATAGTATCATATTTGCTAAGTATTAAATAAATTGCAAACAAATCTTTATTTGTATCTAAGAACACACACATGCACACAAACACGCACGCACTCACACAAACATGTGCGCGCACATACACACACAAAATGAATTACTTCACTGTGAGAATTTTCCCCAACGACAGAAAAATTAATAAAGTTTTTCATAACTTTTGAGAAATTTTAATATGGCTCTAAAGGAAGTTTCTTTATCAACCAAGGAAAAAAAGACTCTCTCAATCGAAGAACAGGTATTCGGAATGTCAATTTGTCGGTCAAATTCAACACAGTACACATCATTTAAAGTGTTCTTCATATTCAATTTTGATTCAGTTTCTTAATTCCATTATATATCGTTTTGATTTACAAAGTGATTAATATATACTTAGTTTCTAACTCTAGCTATTAATATGAAAAATATATTATCTTTTTTTATTAACAGTGACCATACCTTGACCCCACGGAGTAAAAAAAATCATAGACCAGATTTTTCCAAATAAGCTATGCACTTTGTTAACTTGTTTTTTGTTCTACTTTAGCAACATTGACCTTGACCCATGATTTTCTATTTTGTAGTTGCTTCCAATTGTCTTGCCACTTGATCAATACGTTTGTAGTACGATTTTAAATCACCATTTTGAGACAACTTTTCATGCAAGACCAGGTATCGTGTATAAGCTTTGTGAAGTTTATATCATATTTCCCTTACTCTTTGTAAATCAGTCGTCATTTCAGAATAATATACCGAAGTAGCTCAAATACATCCGGATGTCACCCCTTAAGTGGTTCAACGAGCACTTAAAATCAAAGCAGATACTCATTTATCACATAAATAAATCTGATTTGTGCTTTAAAATTGTATAATAGTATAATATACCTGTGTTAGTTTATCAACCGCTTTCTTTGATGCCTCATCGTTAATCAGACACTTTGGATCTTGAAGAACTACAATGAACGCGTCCAAATAAGAACACACAGTTGTTTCGTCGATTTCAAGCTTTGAGCTATGTAAGATTTTATTTCGGGTGTCTCTCGCCTGAAAGAAATTGTATTATACATGTATGTAGAAGGGAAATCATAACACATAATTCCCATTATTTTTTCGTTCTTTGTTTTTGTAATATATGTATATATGTGGTGAAGGAATATTTAATTGGTTTTAATAGATACTTTAGTGATTTCTATACGTCTAATCTTATACTAAAGAACTGAAGCAAGTCTGCAATTCGAATCCATATTTGAATGTTAACCTTTTAGGATATCAAGCAAAATGATTTTATTTATTTAAGGTTATAAACTTAGTATATGATACTTTTAAACAATTAGTCTATTCGGTAATTATAGTAATCGTTGGATGATATAAAAATCATATATTTATTTTTGATCGTTTCCTGTACTTACCAAATGAAACGAACTGGTAGGATTAATACTGGTCACAAAGTTTTGTATTGACCTGTTGTTTATAATTATGCTAAGCAGACCAGCTGCATCTGTATCGTTAGCTGATGTCCCTGGACCTTTAGTTGTTTGGAAACATTTTGCATAGCTCCACCCTTGAGGATCCGAACACCACGTACTTGGATCAGTGTTCTTCCATAATGGGTCTTTAAATACATGCTCATCTATAATTGCATCGTAAAATTTACTACATATGCCATCAGGGCATTTCCTTCGTCCAACTGGTCTGCTTCCAAAACAGTTGGTTGGCCTGTTTTGGTAACATGTGCGTCTGCTACATGCCTTCGTAGAGTTGAAATGATCTGGAGAAAGATTATTTTCCGTACATTGGTTGCACTGTTGTGGTGATCCAGATGGTAATGTCAATATTATCTTTTTAAGAGTATTATCACGACATTGCAGTACCTTTTCTCCAACAAATTCTTGAAGACCTTCCTGTAAATATTCTAGTCCTTTTGTGCCTCGCACCCAATTCGCAAACAGATCTGAGTCAAATTCTTCACTTTCCATTATAGCATTTTTGAAACAGGTCAGTCTGAATAAAAATATATTTATACATGAGATAATACAATTAACAATTTACAAGCTACTCTCCCACACAAAACGGGTATAAAAACATCAACATATTTGTTTACAGTTGTTCAATTTACATGAAAGTAAAATTTGCAGTTTCCATGATATATATGTGACCTAAAGGTTGTTATATTTCACTTGACACAAATATAAACACATCTGTTATCACACCCGTTGACATGTTTTGAGCAGGACAGCGTGATGCAGGTAGAACATTCAATATAAATGTCAGTTTTAAACCAAAAATTATAAAAAAAAATATATAGATTACCAAAATATGTTATTCTATTTTAGTCTATTTTTATAGACAAACTTTTCTATGATATATTGTGCAGCAATTGATTGCAGAATAAAAGCAACATACCAAAAGCACAACTGTTCTTCCTGCAACCAACTTATCTGCTTGCAACCAGTGAACGTGTATGTTTATAATAAAGGTCAACATTTACAAAATCAAACGTTGGAACGGTTTTAAATTACAGCATGATAAACATTTCAAAAATGTTACAGTACTATGGTACTAGTCGGACAAGACATGTATAAATCATCTAGTTAATTATGAATGTACGAGCATGTGTTGAGATTTTATCTTGTCATGGCATTCTATTCCGAAAATGCTCAAACCACAATGTATGTGATAGTAGCTTAAATGAAATAAGATCGATATTTTTATCATTATTTCATCATCTACACGTTAAATATTACCAAGGTGACATACGTACTATGCATATAACTATAGAGGTTATCTCCCTTTAAGTAATATACATTAATTAAAACGAATGTGCATATATAGTTAAAAGCTAAAGTCTATCACTAGGCGTATCACTGTTAAATTTCCAAGTAATTAGATGTTTTGATATTTTTGGCTTGACAAGTGCTTCTAACTTCGACAGTGTAGACCAGAAAAATCTCCATAGTTAACTTACTATAAACAATTATAGTACAGTTATATTATGGTATCATATTATAAATTCAACCTTTATAGCACGTAAGTGTAACCCCGCATGTTAATTTTATTTTTTTTCCTTTGTTATTTATATATTAATATTTGAGGCTTCGTGCTATTAAGCAGTAATGTTTAGCTGATTGCTGTTCTAACGTTCTAAAATTCATTCAGATGCATAAAAATAGATATGTGAGAGTGGTTGTTTTTGGTTCAAAATGTGAGCGGTAACAACATAAATTTGAGTGTTGTTGAAACACAGACTAAAAAGGGGCAGACTTATTTGAAATTCTCAGGTTAAGCTTCCAGCAAAGACATTTCTATCGGATTATAGTAACAATATTGCTAGAGATACGGAATATAAGTATAGTTACTTTACTTCAACAATCATGAAGGACCTTGATAGTATACAGGTACAGATAGTGGCTATGACAAGCACAATAAGTGACTTAAAGGGTGATCTCAAAACGGTGCTAAAGAGATGAAAAAGAGGAATTAATTAATAACATTATTTCATCTTTAGAGATAAATTTGATTGAAATGACTGATAGTACATGCAAGAAAGAACATTGGTAACGAGTTAAAGATTAAGCTCTCTAGAATTTGAAAATAAAAAAGTAAAAGACAGACTTAGAGATTTTGAAAATAGAGCGAATCAGAAATTTAGTGAAATAGAAGAGAATGTTAGCAAGAATTATAATGTCAGTACAGAGGCTAGCAGGAGATCAAATTATATGAAAATAACTGAGATACCAGAAGACAAGGATGAAGATAATGAGAAAATGGCAAACACTTAAGAGCCATCTTGCAAACAGATGCCAAAATAATACTGAATAACGAAGATATAGTGCATTTGCATAGAATTTCATCCAAGAAAACAAATATTAGGCCAGTCTTAGATGAACTTAATAATAAAAGTATGAAAGTTATAATCAAGTATAATCGGAAATCGATAACGAAGAAGGGTCATAAACTTATGATTATGATACAAGGTTCAATCAGGGACTTATTTAGACGCTGCTGTTACACCATACCATTGAAGGTGCATGGTATTTCAATTGCTCTCTGTTTGGACTTACGAAATACGATAAGCGTTTGATATATATGACAATATAACCAATGCAATAGAGGAATTTATGAACACTAAAGCAGCCTCAAACTGTACATTATAATATTTTATCAAGTAAACCTTTAATAGACATGACCTCAATTAAAATGTTGCTAAGTACATACAGTTAAACTTATGTTAGTGGACAACTCTGAAAAAAAAACCTGTTAATTAATTCCACTCCTTAACAAAAGTCATTGTTATAAAGAACAGAGTCATATCCGACTAAAGAAAACTTGTCTATAAAAGGTCTTGTTTGGGCTCTCTGTCTATTGGATGGCCTATGGTCACAGGTTTGACTTAAACATTATAAGGTCATATTGGATAAATAAAAACAGAATGTTTTAACTTTATTTTACTTAGTTTTTATTATGTTGTTAAACATTTTTATAAGTTTTTTTGTGATTTCATTCAATTTATGTTACATTTTTTCCGTTAACCATTCAAATCGAGGATACAAAAAGTAATGTCGGTTTGAGTCTTGTGGGTGTGGATTAACCTTATAACTTGACAAGTCCATCTTGAACTTCATCTGTTTCCCCCCTTATTTTTACTTATTCAATAGATTTTTAAGTGGTAAAGTATAATAATCATAAAACACACTTAGAACAGGTTGTTTATATTTTCATGTAACAGGGACATGCACTATATTTATAAACATTGCATGCTGAAATATGGTTTGATGTTATATGTAGAAAGTGTTCTGATGACAAAGATCGTTTAAAGAAGTTCAAGACGAATATTTTAATGTTTTTTGGCAACATAACAGTCCAAAAATTGAGCCGAAAACAAGCAGATTTACTATAAAGTCTCTTTATCTTTGAGGAATTTTCAGAAACACTTAAGAATATGAGACATGCAAAGGGGTTTCTGTATTTACCTTTTTATTATTAATAGCTTTAACTCTTGCCTAAAAGCAAGGTATAATTACTTGTATTCGAAAAAAAACAAAAAAAAACAATATCTTAAAAAACCCATTACAGACAGGATTTGCAAAGGTAGATTTATGGGAGATAACACAAGATTAGTCTATGATATAATGAATGATTTAGCAGAAAATGCCAGGACTGTAAGTAATGATTGACCTTGCAAAGGCAATAATCAAGAATGAATGTCTACGGCACAGAGTATAAAAATTCACAGTATGCTGATGGTAACTCTTTACTGTTAGATAGATCAGAAAAGTTTTTAAATTTTACGCTTCATATATAACATAAATTTCATATAATCTCTTGATTAATAGTTAAATATTAAAAACATGTAACATAGATAGGCTCTTTAAAATATAGCATTAGATCAATAGAATCTAGATGGAAATTAATTGGGGATGGTACATCATTTAGACTACTTATAATTAATTTTTATGTTTATTTAGAAAACACGATAACATTGAATTATACTTAAATGATTGAGAAAAAGAAAACTTTATCCAGTGTTGCAAACAAAGAGCATTAGCACCTATAGGCAAAATAATTGCCGTAAGGCCACTGTTACTTCCTTTATTAACCAGCGTACGTCACTTCCCAAACCTAATTCTCAGAATGATGTAAAAGGAAACGATATGTTTTAAGATTTAATGTGGCAAGGTCTGTCAATAATTAAGTATTCTGTATTGGTGAAGGAATATGTAAATGGTGGTCTAAATGATTGATGTATAACAAAAAAAACAGTAAAAATACAATAGGTTACGTCTAGAATTAAAGAAATATCTTTGGTTAAGCAAGAGGAAAAATATTGAACCAAATATAGATGGATTAGCTAGAAGTTTTAAACTAGCCTCTTCAGTTATTGTTGTACAATAACGTGTATAACAAAAGCAAAAGATAACATAATGAACTGAACAATTGTTCAAAAACTCATTTAATTATTTAAACTAAAGTCAATCTATAATTAACAGTTAATAAAGCCATATATTTCATAATTATGAGCTTCTTTCCCTTTTTTCTTCTTCTTTTTTCTCCCTGTGGTATTGATAGTCAGTTGTGTTATGTCTGTACATGTGTGTGTATAAATATTGGTTCACTGTATGACATCTCACTTTGTTGAATGTGAATTTTTGAAAAATACTCAATGTCAATAATTGTTAATTAATTCAAAACGTGAATAATATAGAATATGGAACAGAATTAGTGCATTTATTCCATCTTGCTTGATGATATTTGGACTGGCTTACATACTTCTATATGACAATGGAAACCTACGTTTTGCTGAATACGATCATGCATTATAATAACTGAATGCACTATCATCATGTAATTGCAACTTCATATTTTCCTTTCTTAACCATCAAACATGTTTTGTCAAACTCACATATTTTAATATTCTATATGTTTAATTGCATATTTTTAAGGGCAGCGTATTATGCTCGGTGTTAAAGATAACATTCTTTGCTTGTTCTTGATATAACTAGATGTAAAATGGTAAGCTCCTGTAAGTACCTTTAATTTGCTATTTAAATCTGCCACTAACATTGTCGACACCATTTCACAACAAATAACTGATTTTGATCAGTACTTGGCGAAGTTGATGTCATAGCATTAATATGCTTCAATATATTCACTGATTACAAATATAATGCAATACAAGATCAGTGCGCATCGACAACGCAAATGACAGGGAAAGCAATATTATAGTCGCATGTTACAGTACGCTCTAAGCAGTTGCCGGTAGCAGTATTTTGTTTTCAAATTATGACAGCAGGTGTCGCTTTGTCGGTACATCCCATTATTTTCTGGAAGTTCCCGCTATTTTGGCACGTGGAGTAAACAAAGTTACGTCCCCTTTATATAGGGGCGTATACCGAATAGTGTTAGTTGGGGCATTCGAGTTATTTCCCTTTGTATCTTTTATTGTCCGGAGCATAACTTGAGAATTAATGGTTGGTATGATTCACTGCGACTTCATACAATGGCCAAGCGCAGAGAGATGAAGTGCAATGCACACGAACTATAACTGTATTTGGACTTATGAAATAGTTATTGCCCTCTGTTACTTTTTCTTGTCCAGTACAAACTTGAAAACTAGTAGTTGGAGTTCAATACATTTTCATACAATGGTCAATCACAATAAAAGGAAGTGCAATGTTCAATAACCATGACTATATCTTCATCATTTGCAGAGTTATTGCCCTTTGATCATTTCCCTTTCCCGGTGCATAAGTTAAAAAACTAATGTTCAGAATTCAATAAACTTTCATCAATGGTCAACCACAGTGAAAGGAAATGCAACGTATAAGAACGACAACTATCTTTAATTGCCCACAACCATAACTCCATTTAAATTCATTTACAAGGTATTTGGTTACTAGTAATTTTCTCATTTCTGGAGCAGTCTTGTGGGGGTATTAATCACATTTAGTGATAGCTCTAGTTCAAAATGCTTAACAGTTTCGCAACAGCAAAATCTCTTTCTGAAACCCGGTATATAAACAGATAAGTGTCAGTGAAAGAAAAACTCAAGCTATATCATTGTTATCATTGTTTCATGATTGTAAAATGTATCACTTAAAGGCAAGTTGGTAATTGAACGAGCTTAATGTAAACAATTAAAAATCTTCAACATTTATACATGTATGAAGAGTAAAAGATACTCGGTCGAAGTAAAACTAGTTAAATTGCATATGCTATTTCTAAGTTTTCGATACATATAGAAATGTCAGTAATGCTTGCATAACAATGACATAATTGTTTCTTGTAGCTAAGAAAAATAAAACATTTTGTAAACATAGAAATTAAATTATGACGATATTGATATGGATGTCTCTTTAAATCAGAACAATTTCTAAACTACGGTATTCATTTATGTGCCTTTGACTTGTTTTTCGTTTGACTTTATACCTTTGTAATCATATGCGTTTTTGGCAGTGTTATTAAAAAGAATACCATAACCATATGTCCGGAACATAGCTCTACAACCATAAGAGGTATCAACAAGAAAATAAATAAATGAAAGTTAAGTGCAAAGGAACTGTAAGTCTGCCTTCCCTTATTTTCGAGTTATTGCCGTTTGTTCATTTTTACACTTTGAATTTTGTCCTGGATATAACTCTATTTTATACTATAAGAGATATCAACTTTAAACTTTGTGGATAGATATAACTTATTGGGTAAGAGTGCAGTGCAAACGAAACATAACTCTGCCTTCCCTTATTTTTGGAGTTATTGCCATTTTTCATTTTGTTCACTTTGAGCTTTGTTCGAGACCTAGCTCTGAAATCGTAAAGGTGATATCAACAAGAAACTTTGTAGGTAGATAAATATCTTTGGGTTGAAGTGGAATGCAAAAGAATCATAACTCTCTTTTCCCTCAGTTTGGAATTATTGCCTTTTGTTCTTATTTTCACTTTGAACTTTGTCAGGGACATAGCTCTAAAACCATAAGAGATATCAACAAGAAAACTTGTAGGAGGATATATATCATTGGGTAGATATGCAATGCAGAAAAACTATAACTCTTATTTGCCTGATTTTGGAGTTGTAGTCGTCTATTTATTTTTACACATTAAACGTTGTCCAAGACATTACTCTGACACTTTAAGAGATATGAACAAGAAACTTTGTAGGTAGATAGATCTCACTGGGTAGAAGTGCAGTGCAAAATAACCGTAACTCTGCCTGGCATAATTTGGAGTTGTTCTTTGTTCAACTTTTTACTTTGAACTATGTCCGTGACTATGAGACTATAAGAGATTAACGTAAAACTTTGTAGGTAGATACATCTCATTGTGTAAATATGCAGTGCAAAAACACCGTAACACTGCCTTACCTATTTTTGGAGTTAATATCCTTTTTCAATTTTGCACTGTAAACTTTTTCCGAGACTTTACTGTGAAATTCTAATAGTATCAACAAGATTCTGAATCGGTAACTATATCTCATTGAGTAGAAGTGCAGTGCAAAAAAACAGTGAATCTGCCTTGCCTAATTTTGAAATTATTATCGCACTTTGAACTTTGTCCGGGACCTAGCTCTGAACCTACAAGGGATGTATTTCTGTGTTCAAAACCTATTCGGGGAGCATCATCCGGTTCAAACCAGCTCTTGTAAATTCTCATATATGTTGAATATTTGTATCCTACATGTTGTTTTAAATGTATCATTCTACCAAGTACACTTTATTTATTCGTCCGCAAAATAATTCGCTTCATATATTTATTTAAGTGTTCATTGTTTTAGATTATGAATGCCGGTTTCGGTTGTATTTGTTTCCTTTTTCTGTCCGTCAGACATACAGTCTTGCTGTACGTCAGTAGACTAACAGTGGAGTATGGTGGCATCCGTGTCCTAGATCTATTTGTAGCTCCAGTAATAATCCTGTTAAGCGTACCAATAACATTTGATCATTTTTATCTAGGACCATTAAAGGGTAATCCCTGTATAGTTTTATCACTCGCGGCTAAGCAGTTAAAGATATGTAAAATATAAAACGACGGAAACCGGACATTAGGATATTACAATTCTTCATCTTGAGAACCTTAGTGCTCTGGTGAGCTAAAGCACAGGGAAATAAACACAAATGAACTTAGAAACAAGAGGTGTTCATCTAAAAAGAGGTGTGAGGAACAGAAATTTATTGCCTACTTGCCTACAGTGCTGCTCATGGTTGTCATGTTTATTACTTAATAGCCTTTCTGTTCGTAAATTCAATGATAAGGCATTTTAACACTGGTTATGAAATGTAATTCAATATTTTTACAAATATACACCGAAAATGTACCAAATCAATCAATCATTAAATGTGAAATTTTCTTGAATTTTCACGTGATTGGTTTTTCAAGCTTTAATTTTTCTCCCTTAGGAAGGGATAATCAAATTCTCAAGCCTTACACCAACCGCCGCTGTGTTTTTTTTTGTTGTTGTTTTATTTCATTTTGCACATTCTGTTCGGCCTGATAATTTATAAAACCAGATCGCAATTGCCAACGACATGTATTTGCTTTGTTTTAATTGCTCTCAAGTTTTCTCCTCTTCTTTGTTTTCCTTTTTTTTTTTTGCTGAATTGTTTTTCAAAATAATTCTTTATTAATCTAGTAATCTTGTCATTATCAAATCATTAAACAGGCCATGCTAACATTTCCCCAAGTAAAAGCAGAAAGATGCCCCGAAAACTAGAACAAAACGGATTATTTCAGAAGCTATAATTTCAATAAATAAACTTTTTTAAAGCGACATTTCGATTACACTCATCAGTTTTATGCTTTCAAAGAGAGGCTTTTAAATATTATTATGATGGTAGATTACATTTTTGATATCTTCTAGAACCTTTTGACTTTAAGATAGAAACGTGAGGAAAAAATACAACAAAAAAAGTACCTGTTTTTACAGTGGATTCCTTCTTACTTGGTGAATATCCACAAATAATCACTTTTAAACAGTCTTCACTTCGGAAAATAGTCATATTGATAACTAGCTGTGTTACAAACCATTATCATGATGTACACAAATTATATCACATCATGTGCGTGTTCACACGAACAAGCCTTATATCTTATTGTATTGTTATTTTATAAAAAAAAATCAAAAAGCGGCTTTAAAGCAGCATGCCTGCAGATTCGGTGAAAATGATTTCATGATTGAAATATTGTGAAGTGAACAAAGATATTAATTTATACAATGCAAAGGGCACTAATAATCCCACGAACGTAAGCAAAAGAGGTCAAAATAAGCAAACGTTTTTTTACTGGGTCAGTAACGAAGATGCAGTATGATCATATATACTGTTTAGCAAATATCATGTAAATTATTACGGCTTATGAATCTTTTGAATTTTCTTAAAATCATAGTGCATTATGCTCAAATTTGATTTTCTTGAAACATTGTGTGTGATTTGGGGGCATGCAGCTTTAAAATATTACACGCAACTGATCACGTGACTTTTTTGTTGCTATGTTACTCTTACCATATATGGCATGATCGGTAATTATAAATGTCTACTACTTGATGACGTAGATGTGAAACCGGAAATGAAATATTTCTCTTCTCCCTTAATCTTTTTAAAGTAAAGTACAGGAAACAAAATGAGTTTAGACAATCATCTCATTATTAAAATCACTTGTTGAAACTAAATAGCATAATAGGAAAACTGAACCTGTTCCGTCAATCCATTTCTCAATTTATCAGTAAAATTGAAACTATATGGTCTGTCAATTATACAACATACATGACGATAACCAGACACTTCTATTGACTCAGAAAAAATGAATTGTATTCATGTTCACATACACTTAAACCCCAGTAAATAATTTGAATATTTTGATTTCTCCTAAAACACAAAGCCATCAGCCGCATACAGTCTAAAAAATGTGTATTGGCCTTTTACCTCATCTATAAGCGAAACAGCGCACTTTCGACCCCCCCCCCCCCCCCCCTTTTAGGCCTCAAATAGTGAAAAATCGTTGCGTTCATAGATTTCGGCACGAGTAGACATACTTGCCAAGATGGCGACCTATAGAATAATGACATGATAAAAAGCTGATTGGCCGCTTAAATTGTGGGAACGAGATAGCGAATTTTATGTTGTTTTCTTCTGAGTTATATCTCGTGGCCACATCATAGCAATTTTTTTCCTTCTTAGTTGTATCTCGTGGGTACGAGATAGCATTTTATCTGGGGTACAGCTTGTGGCCATGAGATAGACAGAAAAAACGGAAGGTTTACCTTGTACTTATGTACGAACTAATATACCAGTCTTTGCCTAAAACAATAAACATTGCAATAATTGATATCATTATCAGGATTAAGTCTGAATCTTTTTTGTTTATTACAAGAGCCACCGTCGAGCGGGGGCAACGCTTGACTTTTTTGACTCTTTAAAAAAGTAATCAAATAAACAGTTTAAAAAAGGTACAGAAAATGGCGCAAACGGCGAAAAAATAGATTGAAGAGGCGGGAGAAAGCATCAAATATTTCTGATTCTAATTGACTGCGGATTGACAGATGTTAAAAGTGTGATTGCCCGCGGCGATTACAAGTCAAATTGTCTGAAAGTAACAAATCATTCTTTAAAAGCTCGATTCTTCTCTCCGTGCCCCGTTTATGCGTTTTTGACTCAGCTACTTGAATACCTACTTGAATACCTACTTGAATAATATTGAATCACCCTTAGGATATGTTGCCTGCTTTTTTAAATTTGTCTTTTGACGTCTCATCTGTGACACGCAGGCTTCATAACCTCTGACCCCCTCTCTAAATTCTATTCTATTTAGTCCAACCCATTGTTTTCTCGTTTAGGGCACACGCATTTTATTACTTGGGGACCATACGCCGCTTTTCATGGAATGGCACGGAAGTGTCACATTGAAGCTTCCATGATAACCGCCGTATGAACACATTTGCGGATGTTTCAAAATTCAAAATTTTACTATTTCATGTTTAAATGTTGAATTCTGCTTAAACCGGTGCTAGCGGGCGTGGACGGTAACTTGCACTTTTCCAGTACCGTCCATGAACAGGCTCAATCAAACCGAGCCTACAACATTTTCAATATTGTCGTGTTGGGCCTTCTTTAGGGATTCTGTATTAATCTATTTCAGCACCACGCCGGTTTAGTAGTTAAAATTCATTTATTAAATCTCGCCCCCTGCCCCAAATACTAAGCGTGATTTTAATCCGCACCCCGCCATTTTCTTTATCCTAGACTTTTTGCTAGGCGGGGATGCGGCGCGCAAAACACTCTAAATTACGTAAGCGCGGACGAAAAGTCGAGATTTTAACTATTAAAACGGCGGGGTACGGAGCGAAAACACGCTTAATAGCGGGGGCGCCGAGCACAAAGTCGAGCTTATTAAGCATAATTTGGCGGGGCGCTGACAACAGCACGCTAATAAGCGCCAAATTACAATAAATATCTCGCTTCGCAGCCCGCCGTATTACAATAAATTTTCGACTTTTTTCCCGGTGCCTCCGCTTATTAGCGAGTTTTCGCTCCGTGCTTCCGCCATTTTAACTTGTTAATCCTCGACTTTCCGGTTGTTTGGGTCGCGGGGCGAAAACACACTCATAAGGGGGGAGGGCGAGGCGAATAGTCGAGACATTAACAACCTAAACGGCATAGCCGCTGAGCGAAAACACGCTCATTAGTGGGAGCACAGAGCGAAGAGTCGAGCTTTTTTAGAATAATTTGGCGGGAGCGAGAACAGTACGCTAATTGGCGCCATATACATGTAACAATAAATGTAACGCCCCCCCCCCCTCCGCCATTTTAACTTGTAAATCCTCGACTTTCCGCTTAGCGGGGTGCAGACGAAAACATTAAATAGCACAAATCAGCCACCATAATGCTCATTCAGACCTTAAAGAAGTGTCAGTTTCAATTTCGGTAAATAATATCTGTAGTGAACTGTTAAGTCCTTGAATCGAGTGAATTGTTCAGTCCTTGAATCGAAAGTTGTTGAAGTTTGTCAAATTCAATTTTTCAAAAATAGTTAAGATATTGCAAAAAAATAAGTGACTTAATGTCAGAGCTACATGTTTCTCTTCAACCAGTATGTGAGACACATTTATAATTAAATAAACTATTATTTATTTAAGTGTATAACTTAAAATTTTGAAAAAGAATAATTCCAAAATACCTATATGAAATGTGAATTAGGCTTTAAAATGGGTTGTTAGGGTAACATGCTCTCCAGGAATAGCTAGGGTAGGTTGGATTTTTTAAATTCTGTTCAGTTTCTGGATGAAATGTTTATGCATTGTTAGCATTGAAAATCATCCATAGGCCCTTGTCAGATATTGTTATTACCCCTCACTTTTTTCGTAATGCTAATTTCCCATAGGCCTCTGGGAGTTATTCTTACTGTTAATGCAAGTGTACCACGTGACTACGAATTTTGTACTGTTACATAGGTAACAGTATTTTTAACAGTATAAAATCTGGTCACGTGGTCTATTTTCTAAATAAAATGAAATAAAATGGCCGCCATTTTTTTCTCGATTCATTCTTATTTTCGACGATAGGGCATCGCCGAAGTAACTATTACTCTGATAAAATTTAGTTCTTTGCACCCTAGAGTCCCTTTCGCGTATTAAATATCTTTTTGTTGAATAGTCAACAGGAAACATCCGTTTTCAACGGAAGTAATTGTAATGTAAATAATTTTGTTTCAAACTGAAACGAGCAGACAATTAAAGCATGCAACAAAGGATAATTTATCAATTTTAACCAGTGAAACGTTACAGATAGAGTTGGTGGACAGACATCTGTATGATATCATCGTTGTTTTCTAAATGCACTTTGTCAAAAACCATGCAAAGAATATCTGGATGCAGAATGATCAGATTTCACAGATCATAACCTTATAAATGGGTTAGTGTTTTGTTTTCTGAATAAAACACAGCTTATTTTATGTTCATGACTGGTAGATATCATCACTTGCCTAAAGAATAAAAGAAAAACAGCTTCTCAAGTAGGCCTACCGTGCACTTTTAAACTTGCAAGGTAAGGACAGTTTAGTTATTGCTTCTCTTGGCTTATTTTTGTTACAGTTAGATTTAGTTGACAAATGCACATCATCACAGTATTTGTTCGGGGTAATAAAATAAATAACACATGGGTTTGTGGGTAACAGTAAAAATATCATCCCTCGTATAAATATTTTCCTCGGGATGATATTTTTACTGTTACCCACAAACCCATGTGTTATTTATATAATGTTGAAACATCGAATTATGTTCCCGGATGGCACAAGAACATGAGTTCTTACTCTTCAACGTTACAGTTTTGAACTCCTGACGTTCGGTTGTTTTTGTAACTGTTTGTCGATAAAACCTGTCTGTATCGTACCTCTACAAATGAACGAAGAGCAACATAATCTTTACAGACCTAACAAAATGGTAGGGTCGGGCATATTTTTCAGAAGGGTAGATCTGGGGTGGCCCTATAATAAACAGGGCCTAATGTGTTTATAGTGTGTTTGTATACTCTGTAGGTGATGATGATGATGATGAAGGTGGTGGCGGTGGTGGTGTTGATGATGATGATGATGATGATGATGATGATGATAGTGGTGGCGTTGGTGGTGGTGGTGATGGTGATGATGAACGCTATCTAAATAGTGAATAATACAAATATATGGATCATTGGACAATCTGCAGACCAGCTTGTAACATTTATATTTTCTATTTGGATGGCTTACTAGCACATAAACTAAACAAGACCCGAAGGATGGTTTATATATTTTATTATATGTGTTGCATCCAAGTATACACTCATAAACTCCCAAACATCAAGTAAACATACACACAGTAACAATAACGATATTTGATATTAAAGGCGTGGCTTATTATATCTTGTAGACTTGCTTACTACATCCTCCTCTATCTTTAGTTTAGAACTCATCAATAAAATCAATAAACTTAAATCATCAAAACTTTAAATTTAAATGTGCAAATATATTGTAATAAGAATTTTTTTTTCGTATGAAATAAGCTATATAGCAAGTCTATTGTTATAAACTCTTCT